TGTCAACTACTCATCTAGATATGTTCTATGAAAAAATAAAAGCCCAAGTAAAATCACAAATTGACGGCGAAACGATGGTTTCGATCATGAGTGACGGTTGGTCGAACATCCGAAATGAAGGTATTATTAACTACATGGTTCACACAAGTAAAGGAGACCTATTTTATGACTTCTCGTTGCACAAAAGCACACTGGGACATATATTGCTTCAGAGCTCAGCAGAATTATTGAAGAGATAGGTGAAAGCAAGATCACCGCCGTTGTTACAGATAACGCGGCTAACATGAGAGCAGCTTGGACTGAACTAAAGATGAGGTACCCACGTCTTCAATGTATGGGATGTACCTCTCATACGCTTAATTTGCTAATGAAGGACATGGAGTCCTTGAAGACGCTTCAGGATCATGTCGCCAGTTGTAAACAAATAGTGAAGTTCTTTAAACTAAAACATGTGCCAAATGCCGTTCTGCAAGAGAAGCAATGTGGTAACAGCAAATCGTTGAAAATGCCTGTAGAAACAAGATGGGGAAGTACAGTGGCTTGTATGGACAGCATTCAGGTCAACAAACAATCGCTAAGAGAGTCAATCATAAACATTGATGTGGAGATCATTGCACCTGCCAAAATCAAGAGTTCAATTTTATCCGATGATGTCTTCTGGGATCGGAACGAGAAATTCTTAAAACTGCTCTCCCCTGTGGTAAACCTGATTACGTTCATGGAAAATACAAATGCTACTTTGTCGGACGTGAGACACAAGGTGTATAAGTTGAAAGATGCATTTTTTGCTCAAATGTCGGAAAGTCCGTTTTTGATTGCCGAAGAAACATCTCTTATGAACAATTTTGAAAAACGGATTGAAATGATCTGTACAGACACTCATAATGCGGCCTATCTGCTGGATCCACGATACAGAGGGGAAAACTTGACGCATGAGGAACTTGAACGCGCTATTGCTCTCTTAGTTGAGCTTTCCTCAGAAGATGACCATGTCAAAGTTATAGGGGAAATTACCAACTACCGAACACGTCAAAATGTATTTGATAAACCAATTATTTGGGTCGCATCAAAGGGTGTTACTTCTATATGTAAAAATTCATCCCATGTTACGCCTGCTACTTGGTGGAAGAATTGGCTTCCGAATTGCTCACTAAAAGATGTCGCTGTGAGGTTGTTGAGTATGCCACCTTCTGCAGCCTCTTGCGAGAGAAATTGGTCCGCATGGGGCATTGTCCATAGTAAGCTCCGCAACCGATTGAAAACTACCCGTTCTGGAAAGCTTGTTTATATAAAGTACAACTTGAAGCTGTTGAGTGGAGGTGGAGATAAAAAACGTGGAAATCCGGAGGAGATGGCACTCAATTTCAGTAGTGAAGATGAAATTGGCGATTCTGCCGATTCTGCAGAACATGAAGACGATGGGTTCAGTGACGAGGATAATGTGCCGTTATCTACATTGACGTCATTGGCCAGTCATTAGTTGTGCACTGTTTATTTCTAGGTTTATTTCTGGATCAAGAATACCATTATGTTTTGAATATTTGTTTATTCTCTTCCTTAGAAGGATTTATTTATTTTCATTTTTGGGTCATTTAGCTATTGTTAATTAAATTAACATTATGCATTTTCATTTTTTTCTCTTTTGTGTGCCAGAATAATTTCTTCATTTGTTTTTTAGCTCTTTTCCAATAAATACACGTTTATATGCAGTTAATAATGCCTTCATTTCGTTAGACAATACTCAAGAATTTGACCGGTCCTTAGTCAATTGACCGGTCAATTGACCACAAAACATTTTGACCGGTCGAAATCACAACCCTAAGGAACACGAGAACTGGCGAATGTGGTTTATTCAATTGAAATTTGTAACTTGAACGAATTATAGGTATACATTTTTAATGTTTAGCATCGAGATCGTGTAGAAGATATTTTCTATAAAAAAACTTCCTCAGTCATATCATCCTAAAAGTTCTAATAAGGCATATACAAACCATGTTTTGGCCTGGCTTTCTTCCACTAGAGGTGTCTAATAGAATTCCAGATAAACATAAAGAAATAGGCTTTTATCAGAACTTGAATTATTTTAATCTATTTCACTACAAAAAAAAATAGAGTGTTTTACACTGGCAAAATGTCAAAGGAACGGCCGGTTTCCTACTGACAAAACTCCTACCTATTCCTACCTGGACAAAACCAACATGATGGTTTTTCAGCGACAAAATTTTGTGTGGTTAATGTAAAAAACTACAGTGTGGATAATGTTACGGAACTTCCGGTCGAATTTTTTTTTTTATTAACCCGGAATTTCCGAATTATTATTTTATTATTATTCGTCCGGGAAATAATACACCATGTACCCCTTCAATGACACAATCATTACTCCCCATACCCCAGGCCCCATTGCGCTGGCGCTGGCCTGTCAAGATGTCCGAAATTTAATTTCAATGCTGCTAGGCAAATCCAGCTGGTTAACACCTGTCGAGGTGGTAGAAATTTAATTTTTCTCCGAATGACAGTAAAAGCGGCCTTTTAATGACACTTGACAGGATCAAAAGTTATATTTTTACTGCCTAGGCAGTAAAAGTGGACTTTTACTGCCTAGGCATTAAAAGTGACAGTGTCACAACGTAACAGGTAATAATTTCACTCAATTTGGTATTTGAAATTGATGGTGACAATGACAACTGTCAAAATAATTTAATTACATATTTGGATAATAATAATGAATGAAATAAATATCAAAAAGATGTCCATGTGTGAATTTGAACATTCGGAGAAAAAATTATATGTTTCACATGGCAGAAAAGCAGATTTAATGCCTCGGTTGGTTTCCTAGCCTCGGCTATGCCTCGGCATTAAATCTTATACTTTTCTGCCTAGTAAAACAAATAACTATTCTATGCTGCTAGGCAACCGCAGCGGCAGTAGAAGTACTTTTAGTGCCGCTGAAGCGGCAGCAAAAGTACTTTTAGTGCCGCTTGTACTTTTACTGCCGCTCAACCATTCAGTTACCCCGAGCTTACCCCATTCGTTTGGAGAAAAAATAGCGTGTTGCATACGGAGTAGAAGCTTCAGCAGTATTGCAAGCCTCACTACGTTCGGCTCGCAAACCTACTGCTTCAGCACAAAAAAGTAAAGCTTCTACTTCTTTTACAACAATATACTATTCCAAACATTTCAAGTCGTGTAAAAAAAAATTGACATCTATGACTGTCAAACCTCAACATTTCCCTTTTTATTTTTTTTCGGCCTTAAGACGTACCGTAGCGAGGAGGGTCAAATCTACTTTTTGACGTATTTTTTGCTCCTCTATCCGATAGAATTTTTTTTTTTTTAGAATTCGATATTTGAATTTTTTCGACAAAAAAAATCAAAGGGTAGGTACCATCGTCACCAAAAGTAACTGGGACAGCATCACATTAGCTCTTGTCCTATATGAATTTTATTGTCAAATATTTGTCAAATTATGCATTAAATGCATTGAAATGAATGACAGTAGAATTAGTCCAGGAGATTATTGTGCATTATTTGTGTCCCAGTTACTTTTGGTGACGATGGTACCTATAGCCTTCGATTTTTTTTTTTAAATTTTCAAACCGTCCTAACTCGAAAACGAAAAGCTTGGGAGAAAAACTTATAGAACTCGTCGAGTACTACAAAAAATCCTATAAGAAGTATCTCTCCAGGGGGCACCGTTTTAGAGAAAATAGACCTCGAAAATTTTAACAAAATTACAAGAAATTTCAACTTTGACGGCCAATATCTCAAAGACTGGAATCTCAATAAAAATATTTTGTAGATAATTTCATCCTCTTTCAAATGAGATATGACTCGAAACGATCGGTTGAGAAATAGCGGAGTTATAGGCGAAAAAGTGGCCTCGTGTCGGATTCCCACAATTTTTTTCTGATCAAAATCGAAATTTCCTTTTTTATTTTTTTTCGGCCTTAAGATGTACCGCAGCGAGGAGGGTCAGATTTACTTTCTGACGTATTTTTTGCTCCTCTATCCGATACAATTTTTTTTTTTTTGAAATTCGATATTTGAATTTTTTCGACAATGCAAGGACTAGTACGCATTATGTGGACGGGTTAATTTGCATATTTTTTGTTAGTTTCGTTGCAGTTCATTTAATACTGGTTATAAGTGTACTGGACTACTAGTTAATAACAAAGCGCGCTGTTTTTTTCTAAATTCAATACATGCAAGGACTAATACGCATTACGTGGACGGGTTAGTTTGGGCTAGTTTGCATATTTTTGGTTAGTTTCATTACAGTTCATTTAATACTGGATATAAGTGTACTGGACTACTGGTAAACTGGTACACAAGTAAAAAAACAATCCGGACGAATAATAATATAATAATAATCCGGAAATTCCGGGCTAATAAAAAAAAATATTCAACCAGAAGATCCGGGTGATTAGGGACACCCAAAAAACTATTGAGTTTGACAAGTGTCATCTAAAGAAAATAAATTTTCCAAGTAAATATTTAGCTTGTTTTTTTCGTGAAATAGTCCAGCCGAATACCACTCAAGAAAAAATTATGTAGGTAGGCAAAATTATTCTCTTGGTTTTATTCAAGTTTGTTGCTTTTTGGTAATTTCGCTCATGAATTTTTTGACAAAACCACTCGCCTGACAAACTTTCATACCAGTCGAAAATTTTGCCAACAAAATTTTTTCTCTTGTGGTATTATCACTTTTACTAGTATGTACTACCAAAAGGTGACAAAGGCGCGTAAACTCTTTGGAACATTTTCTTTTTGTTGATGTAGAAATTTTGCACCAGATACCACTTACAATCTGGTCAGACGGTTAGCATAATCGTTGTTGGCAGGTCGGTGTGCGTCCCATGAATGACTGGCCTTCCCTATCCATAGTTTTACCATAGTGTCGAAACGTTGGACTTGAGCAATTTGAAAAATCTCACTGTGTTTGTGTGATTTTTAATAAAATGAAAAAAGTTTATCACATAGCAGTTCCTGTCAATTTTCAGTTCCGACGAAGATGCTCGTCAAGGCTTCCTACGCAGCGATGGCACTATCAAAGGGGTTCAGGTCAAACTCATGCTCAGTTCAAGAACCGAGATGCATCGCATTATTGAGGAGGCTCGCAATCAATGCCTCAACGCGTTTACGATTTCTCCGCTTCCTACTCCGGTAAGGCAAACTTTTAATTTTATTGATAAGTTGTTAAAATTATCAATGTTTCACCAGACTCCGGCCCAGACATCACTCCTTCCTGCAGCTGTTCCCCATGTGATGCCAGCACCAGTGCCGGCAGTACCAACAAAAGAATATAAAGATCGTTTTGATGGTAATGGGGAGAAAAGAAGAGATTCAAGGCGCCGTTCACGAAGTAGATCTAGAGATTCTAGAGATAGAAGAGATAGATCACGTGAGAAGAGTAGAAGGCACAGGGACAGGAGTCGAACTAGAAGTAGAGACCGACGGGATAGGGACGGCAGAAGGAGACGAGAAAGAAGCAGGAGCAGAACTAGGAGTCGTGACAAAGGCATCAGAAGGGATCTGTAAGTACTTTTTGGGAGAAAACATTTTTCATTAAATATTTCAATTATTCTTACACATTCAATTATAAAAAAATATTTTTGTTCCAGTGACCGACGGGATGGACAAAATAAACCGGAACCATGGGCTAATGCTGGACCTGCTATGTTGACTCCATCTCCTTGGGACTTGAATACTGAAACTGTGAAAAAAGCTTTGGTAGCTAATTTACAAGCCAACCTACAAGGACTAGGTGGTTTACAGGCTGTTGATAATCAACTGTTAAGAAATAATATTTTGAATACAGCACGAGCAAAAGCCAGAGAAAGCTGGCCAGCAGCAAACCCGCCGTCTGTGCGTGAAACTTTAGTTGAATCTCCTATAGATTATCCAACACCGCCACTTGTCACCAAAAAATTTATGGAAATTGCGCAAGGAACAAAGGACGACCAATTCAAAAATCAGAAAAAAAATGTAATTGTCACTCCCCCAAACAATGATAGCCCTAGACCATTGGCACGTGTTAGAGAGAATGGCAAAAAAAGTCGATTTGAAATAGACCCGTTTTCAAATACTTGCATTTCTATAGGTCCATTTTATGGACCATATGCAGACCTCAGACAATTCTTCAATGGTTTGGCCATTAATTATCAGGGTATTAAAATTATTCATGACGACAAAGGCGATAAAACTGGCATCTGCTATGTACGGTTCCGAGACGGCAATGGTAAACAGACAGCACTATTAATGAATGGTCGAACCTTGAACCAGGTTAAAGTCAACATTGAACATATTGATGATGAGGAGTTTGAGAAAGCTGTAGATGCATACAAACCGTTTCCAAAGGACAGAAGTTACATGGAGAATCTAGAGTCTGGCTGTCTCAAAGTAGAAAATCTTCCTAAATTTGTAAAGGAACAAGATATTCTTCACATATTTTCGCAATATCAGTTGACTTCCTTGTACTTGAACTGCAGGCCTAAGGGAGAGTCTGTTGCGTATGTAAAATTTAATGACAAAAATAAAGCTAAATTGGCCTTCCAACAAAAATATCTTCATTTTATTGGTAACAAGCCTGTTACAGTAAAACCATGTGACATCAAGGAGTTCAATAGCGCAAATATGCCCAACATTCAATTTGAGAATTCCCTTCAAACTACTTGTTTATGTCTAGGGAATCTACCATCTGAAACCACAGAGAGTGATATTTTTGATATATTTTCAGATATCGATGTTGTACCTACTAAAATTCATATACGCAAGAATTCTGGGTTGCTTGCCCAAGCCTATTGCGAGCTTGAAAGTGAAGAGGATACTGTCAAAGCCCTAAGTAAAAACAAAACTGTACTTGGCAAAAATATTATATCAATAGAAAGAATTTCAGCTGAAGAATTGGAAGCCATTTTGAATACAAATATTGTTCAATCGCCTAGCTTTTCACCACTCTCTACAATCAAACCTGAACCAGACACAAAATCAGAAATACAAAAGGAAAATGATACCAATACTAAAACTGAAATCCAGTCTGAGCCAGCAGAGTCTAAAGAGGCAATAAACAGTGGTAGTAAAATACAAGATGCTATAAATAAATTTAAAGAAGAAGCTTCCCGACCGTTCCATCCACCAATTCAAGATATCACCGAAGACAGTAATGATCGCCCTGAAATTATTGAAGAATCACAATCACTATCTGGCCGCTTTGAGCCACCAAGCGAATCTTTTGATGACGACGATGATCATGAAAAAGACTATGATGAACCCAGACCTAGTTTGAATGAACTGAGACGCTCCTTTGAAACCGACCGGCGCGATTCGAATGAATCCAGGCGTCACAATGATGGATCCAGACACTACATTGATAAACCCAGATCGCACTATGAGAACGACAGACCCCACTATGATGACAGACCCCACTATGATGACAGACCCCACTATGATGACGACAGACCTCACTATGATGAAACCAGACCGGACTATGATGAAGCCAGACTCCAGTACCATGAAGCCAGACCACCCTATGATAAAGCCAGACACCACTATGATGATGTCAGATCTCACTATGATGAACTCAGACCTCACTTTGATGAACCCAGGGGTCCAAGGGGCTTTATGGGACCGCGCAGTGGGAACTTTGGTCCACGTGGGGGCAACTTTGGACCTCACGCCGAGTTTGGCCCTCGCGGTGAAATGTTCAGACCTCGAGGTGGCTTCGGTCCTCGGGGAAGAGGACGTATGTTTGGTCCGCGAGGAGGCCCAAGCTTTAATTTACCTGCTGACGAGGAGCCAGAAGATGATGAATTGCCTGGCTGCACCGTTTACATGGATAATCTCCCGTATAAGGCTGGAACTAATGAGATTTTGGAATTTTTCAAAGGGTATAATTCTACGGAACATGTTAGTAGGCGGTATAATTCTAATAACACTCCCACTTCTGAGGCTAAAGTTACCTTCTATAATCCTGAGGACGCATCTAGGGCTGTGGAAGAACTGAATGAGCATAAAATTTGGAATCGAACCATATATTTAACACAAAAGTAGTACCCATTCTTTTTATAAAAATTAGTGACTAGTAACCATTTTTCTTTATTTGACTTTTGACAGAAAAAAACGCAAGTTTTAGTATAATGAGGGCATGTATGTTGAATAATATATTTTAATAATGTTAATAAAATAAAATATTCTTTCTTATCTATTGAAAATTGGCAATAATTTCGAAAATTATGTAGTTATACCTACATTTTTAAAGTTCTTTGGGGTTCCAACAAGATTAGCTCATAAACTCTTCTTTTAGTAACAATCGCTTTCAAAGATATGAAAGTAGTCATGAAGATTGGCTTTTCACTGTAGTATTCTTATAGCACTATAATGAGATAATACAAAAATATACCATTTTTTTGAGATTATAATATGTATTTTGTAACCCTTGGCCTGCATTAAGATGTGCCAACTTATCAAGTTCTCCACGCCTTTGCGTGTCTCAAAATACCAAGTCTTGATTTGTAAATAAATTCAAAAACTGCGCATGCCTTCAAGTAGTTTTAATGTTTTATTTTAATGGGTGTTAAAATAAGTGTACCTCCTTATAATAATAATAATTTTATACATTGGGCAAACAATTTTTTTTCAACATATAGGTATAGATAGCAGTTTGCCAGTGCAAAAAATACGATGTACATATTTTCAAATATTAATTGCATTATTATAAGCTATGGCCGATTTTTGTCCATGATATTATTTGTATATACCTATAGAATAATAATTGAAAATTATTCTTTATTTTTAAAATTTTAAAATGAAATACTTACAAAAAAGGAGGCTCAAATAAAAATTAGGCGCTGAGATTTGTGGTTTCTGGGTGTCTATTTGACCTTCCTAATAGACTGTGAGATAGGGGCTGTTTAGTGGAGTCATTTTTTTTTGTCTGGCATTTTGAGGGCTGAATGTGGCTACTAAGCTGATAGAATATGGGTGATTTTAATGCCGGCCTCCCGTTCGAAAATTTGCAGAAGAAAAAAATTGATTTACGTCATGAAGAATTTTTTTTTAATGATCTCAAATTTTCTAGCTTTTAAATAAAAGATTGACATTGATAAATAATTCACCCATGAAAAATATCAGATGCTTTTCAATAGCTAAAAACATGGGGATGGGTTTCAACTTCCAAGAGAAAAGAAGAACCTTCCGCGTTTACTTTTTGTCTGACAATCGAGAGAATGAAAGGTTTTGTTGTGAAAATAACGCTGAAAAATCGCCAGACCGTAATCACAATTCGAAATCGAGTTTTCCGGCGAAACATTCTGTGGACATTTCGAACAGGAGGCAGGCATTAAAACCACTTATATTCTCATCAGCTAACTAGTCACATTCATCCCTCAAAATGCCAGACAAAAAAAAAATGACTCCACTAAACAGGCCCTATCTCAGGGTCTATAACTATTTTTATAAAATAATCTTTTTGATTCACGTTTTATTGTATAAAACCAAAGTAGGTAGGTATATAGAATCAAACGCTGTCTGATTCTGAAAAGATTGGCTGACGTTTTCAGCACCAAATCTGCTATCGCCACAGCTACAAATTTCATTTTTAAATGTTAGAAATATTGTCCGCCTCTTATATTTTTTAGTTATCTAAATCTTTCGCTTCTTATTAAACCTCAACACTAGCAGATGATTTGATGCGTAATGTCAGCCAAATATTTTCAGGAAACTTCCAAGCCTAACATTATTGTTTTAATAAAGTAAAACAACAGATCCAAGAGTATTTTAATAAAATATTAGCATGGGTCAAATAGACTCAGAAATTGAAGATCTGAGTTCAATTCATTTCCAACGCCAAGAATATTCTGGAAGAGAATTTCTATTGAGGCCTAATAATCGAAAAAATTAGCTCGATAATAATAAATATAATAATTGTATCCTTTGGTGTATTTTGAACTTCTTCATTTTTGGTGGTTGTAATTATTGGTAATTTACAATTATTAAAAGATGATTTTGTAATTCTGTTTTTTATTTTCAACTTTTCTCGAGCACCATGCGAGTGTGTCAATTGTGTCAACCTTCCAATCCCAGAGTCACTACCAAACCATGCAAGGTAAGATTGGCATGGCAACCTAACTAAGGGCCGGTTTCACAATAGCAAGTCACCCCTGGGTTAACTATAACTTCAAGGTGAACATTGCAACTGGACACGTTTACCCTGCAGTTAAAGCCAACCCGCGAGTGTGACTCGCTATTGACAAACCTATCCAAAGGATTTCCTTTCTGGCGATGACCAAGAGAGCTCACTGCGAGAAAAAAATCAAATTCCACCCTCAAAGCGAAATCGCTATGAAGTTCATAGTTGAGACATGGAGATGGATTGGGTTGAGTTATTGGGCTTAACTAACCAGATAAATAACGCTTCAAATGAAAAGGGTCCTAAGCGAATAAAACTCAGAAGCTATCAAAATTTCAATGTAAAAAGGCCTTTAGTGTAAAAGTTATAATGCATATAAAGATGTTCATTTAAGACCCATTTTCATTGGTATCTACCTATAAGAGAAAAGTGTAAGAACTCAAATGAATCAAATGGGCATAAGTGGTTTAATAGGCCTAAAACAATTGTTTTATGTGCTCTTAGGTCTTTTTAACATATTATCCTCCTCATAGGGCCAATCTGCAACTTAGAATTAAATTAATTTAAAAATTTTGATTCTATACCTGCTTATTAGGCTTTTTTTAATTTTTCCGCTTAAAACAAAAGCAGGTCTAACTGAAACATAGATATTTATTATTTAGTCTTCACGGAAAAAACACTCCACTATATTTAAGAATAGTAGCGTTTGCTCAAGAATATATTCGTTTCACTATTCCACAAGAAAATATAATATTTAATTCCAGTATTGCCCTATTCTTAAGAATTGAAAATAATTTCAACTTATATCCAGAATACGGTAGTGTCGAATTCGAGAATAGCCTAGTAATTGTTTCAAGGATAAGGTAGATTTGTTGATCAAGTATTGTTATTCTTATTCGAAAAATTACTTATAGTTATCACAAAAACTACAATTTATTTCCAAATATTTCTTATTCTTACTTCAAAAATAACCTCTTATTGTTTTAACTACTCGTGTACTTACCATTAATATTGAAACACAGTTTACTCTGAAGTATATTTTATTCTTCAAATTCTTGTTTTAAAAATTTATATAATATATAAAGGTATAAACTGATGGAATAATAACAAAAAAGTTAATTGTGATAAGTACAATAACAATCATAGATAGGTAGGGTTGGATGAACCCACCGGGATACCGGGAAATTCCCGGTGGGCCGATCAGAATGTGGGCCGATCTTCAAAACAACAGAACCTTCATCAAGATACCTTTAAACGGACGATCTCCATAAGGTCTTACTTACAGTAATCACGAACCAGTCAGAGCGTTTTTGATTGGTGCAAATCGCCAACAAACAGTTTTCTGACTATTTTCAACCAATGAAATTTGACTGGTTTGTGATTTTTGTGAGAACAGACCTTATGAAAGCACAAAGAATTATTGGTCAATTCAATTCATGGCGCACTGAAAAAGGAACAACGCAACATGGAAGAAATATTAGAAAGTGTTAAAAATGTCAAATGCAGGCAAATACAGTACTGGAAGCAAATGAAAGAAAGAAGTAACAGGAGAGGAAGCAGAGATAATACTTCTCTAGCTACTGCTATTTTTAAATTTCAGGTGTAAGTACGCGATGTGGCCAATGATCGCATCATAATAAAAATAGAGGCATCTTATTCAAGGCATAGAGATATTTGTTTTCTGCTAATTTTTCATAATCAATTTTTCCGAACTTATGCCAGACGATGCTTTAAATAAAATTAGATAGGTGACTTGAAAAAACTGTGCTTGAAAAGGTCGGAACTGTATGACCTCCCTGAATTTAATGATGAAGATGAAGACGATATAGAAAATGAATTAAAGTTGTTAAATGATTTGAGTTGTATGATCTCTCTGAATCCAACTATGAAGATGAAGATGATCTAAATGACACAGGATTAGATACAGGGCATGGATTGGAACTTTCTAAAAATAGTGTTTTTCACATTTACGCTGTAAACAATATTTGGTTTTGTATAAGTAAAAATACAGATTTTACATCCGTGCTTACAAACATCTTTAGGGCCTACCTTAGACATCAGGAATGCCTTCAATTCAGCACCATGGCCCGAAATCATTGGAGAGATCACGAGGAGGGGCGCTCCCCCATACCTAGTGACACTAGTCCAAAATTACCTAACCCAAAGGGAAATAATCATCGAAGTGGAACTAGTGGAAGGCGAAACAGAATCGGTAAACATGATGTGCGGAGTGCCACAGGGCTCGGTCCTGGAGCCCACTTTTGGAACCTCCTTTATGACGTTCTGCTGATGAGGTTGGACCAACCAAAAGAAGTAACCCTCATTGGCTACGCTGATGACATAGCCCTGATAATAATGGCAAGAGACCCAGACGGTATACGGTTGAAAACAGAAACCGCCATGCAGAGAATCGAAGAATGGCTACGCAAAAATCACCTGGAGCTTGCCCCCGAAAAAACGGAAATTCTGTTGGTCTCAGGCAAAAGACATACACCTGAGCTAACACTCAACTTCTGCGGCAGGGAGCACACTACGAAAACTTAAATTAAATATCTCGGAGTATGGTTGGACTCGAAGCTGAAGTTTGGGACACACATACACAAAACGGCTACCAGAGCAAGTAACACCATGACGGCACTGAGCAGGGTGATGCCCAAAATCGGAGGTCCGTCATAACCAGCAAGCGAAGACTTATCTGCTCCGTCGGCAGATCAATTCTGACGTACGCATCGCCTGTGTGGGGCTCAGCTCTCCAAAAAAAAAACGCTACTTAACGTCTACTGATCCGCATTACCTGCACGTACCGCACCGTGTCCTCGGATGCGCTGCTAGTGATAGCCCATCTCTCCCCTATCGACCTAATCGTCGCAGAGTCGACTGCTCTGTCATTGATTGACGACCCAGGGAAAAACGTAGCGCGCAGAGGATACAGGGAACTTCTCATCCAGGAATAGCAACAAAGGTGGAGTGGTAGCAGCAAAGGGAGATGGACCGCTAGACGAATACCAGAGATATTGCCCTGGCTAAGCGGGAAGCACGGTGAGACAGACTTTTACCTGACCCAACTGCTGTCGGGTCATGGTTGTTACAGACACTACACGTACAACATAAATAAATCGGACGATGACGAATGCCTGTACTGTGAAAAGCGTAACAATGCCGAGCACACCTTCTTCCACTGTAGGAGATGGAAGGAACAGAGAGAAGAATGCTGCAGAAATGTCGACAGAAGAATAACCCCTGAAAACATACTGGAGGTAATGCTGATAAATCAGCAAAATTGGAACGAAGTTCGCAAATTCACACAGCATACTAAGTCAACAAAATGGAAAATGGAAGAGACGCGTAGGCCAACCCGGAACTGCCGGAAGACACATAAAAGTCCTGATAAGACCTCCGTTTGAAGTAATGCATAAGCGGTCCCAAATGGTGTCGTCTTTAGCGGTAGAGAAAGTGTTCTAGTGGGTTTGAGTCCCACACTGTCTCGTGGCGCCAGAACAACAATGCCACGAGTTCGTGCGAAAGCATTTCCTAATCCTTACCGAAAAAAAAAAACTAGTAAGTCCTCACTTCAGCGTGCACACAAGTAGGCCGCGAAAAATGCTTCTCAGTTTTCAAAACTTTATAACATAAAAAATCGGTCAAGGAATCGACTTTCGGATACATAGATGATAATGAACTTAAAAATTATTAGATCACATCTAAGGGTGATGATGTATGGGCCGCTAGACTGAAAGTTCCCGGCCCACTTCCAGAAGTTCGTCCAACCCTGTAGATAGGTACATTTATTTATTAATTATTCACATACCACTGGTTGGGAAAATCCGTTATAGATGCTGCATTTTCTTCACTTTTAACGCAATTTTAGTACCGATTCATTTTCTTGGCCAATTTTAATCTAACCTCCATTTTGGGAATTCGCTCTTTACTTTGTTCATCATTTATGTTCAACCATTGTCCAAATTAATTTAATTTCCTAAAATTAAAAATAATGTTTTTATAGACACTTTGTCAACAACTTATCCTAAAGCAAAAGGCAAATAGATTGGATAAGGTACTTCCTACATGATGAAAGATAACACGCGGTTCAAGTTTTTACCTAAATGATGGCCACCCACGCCAACAATGCCTAATAATTTTTTGATTGTTTTTTCCCGGAAATTGAGCAGGAAAAGTGAAACTTACCTTCAAATATTGGAATTAAACCAAATCCCATTTCTTCAACAAAAAATCCATTTTATTATGAAAAACACTGTAAAACCACAGGTATAGCGTCGCGTGGCGTCCTTCGGCGTCCCTTCAACCAAACTTCAACTTTATGTTCAATGGAATGAATGGGAGAGAACGCAACGCGAAGCAAAGCACAAAGGCGACTAGAAGGCAGGTTGAAACAAACATGCATTTCATTTAAGAATAATATACTCTCTTCAAACTATAGGTACCTATTTCAAACGAGAAATTATTTCAACATTACATTAAGAACAAACCTATATTTGATAAAATATATTTTTTATTCTTGATTTAAATGAAAAATAATTGAGATGAATATTTAAAGAATTTCAAAATAATATTAAGCAAATATTTCAATGTATAATAAAGTATTGTTTTACTAAGTAAATTATTACTGAATCAAATATAAAATTATAAGTACCTATATTACTACTCTTGGATATAGAATTGCATTTTTTTCCGTGTTGGTCAGCCTCTTATTAATTGGGAATTTTGTTGCGTTTTAAGTACGACATAAGCCCATAAACGTTGTGTTACTACTTTCTTCCGTATTTCAATTACTACCACCAGGTCACAATATGAAAGAAATTAATCATAACTTCCTGGACATACTTACCTTGAAGCAGATCCGATTCACGCTGCAATTGAAAAA